TCGAATCCCTTTGAGGGCTTCTCGGGCTTGGGGACTTAGCCTTTCCCGAACGAAGATGTAAATGTCGTAGGCTTTCTCGTTCCGAAGCGGGCTTTCAGGCGATAGACGCGCGAAGACGCGTAGATCCTTTAAGGCCGCCCGGTTTATAGCTTATTTTGCGGCTTATTTGGCTGGCGTTGGTTTATCCTGTCTTCTAGATAGTGGCTAGCTCTCCGCCGCCGCGTATAAACGGACTAGGGGCGGCTGGTTCTGGGTTGTGTACAAGGGATGCCCCTGGGAACTCAGGTCAGTCTCGCTAGGCCCTGTGTTAATAGCGTGTATAGACCTCGTTAGACTACGTTGATGCCGGTTTGAACGTTGTTTCTCCTCCTAAAGCTCTCTCTCTAAGAATTCGATCTTCGTTAAATAGTCTTTCAAAAACTGTTCCCTCTCGGCGTCCTGACGTAGGAGGTCCTGGATAAGATTCGAAAGCTTATTGATCTCGTCTTTGAGCTCAGAATTATCCTAGTGGTTAACCTGCTTAACTACTCTGACCTTTATAGTCGGCTTCCGGACTCGTCCCGACCGCCGAGATATACCGGCGTCCCCGTGAACCGTGATCGATGGCCCTATACCTAGGGAGACCGCCATAGTCGTGGAATTTAGCTCGTATGGGCTGATGTTGAGAGATGATAGTGTAGTGGGCCGTAGCCCTCTATAACCTTAACAATTACTAACAGTGGATACCTTTCGAGGTATGTGTTCAGAAGTTGCACGTACCTCAAAGGGACGGATTCCGTATTCTTGGCATACGACTTTCCTTATCTTATCATCACGTGACCTTCTCCATAGTTCTTCCGTTCCGTGAGAGGGTGCCTTGTGTCCCCTTGTCCTGTGCATGTATGGCGTATCGTAACCGCCGTAAGCCTGCGGGGCAGGCCCTGTTCTTGGTCGTGCATGTTGGGTCGTAACAGTATGTTTATAGAAGTTGAGGTTGCGGAACTAATAATAATAATAGTCGGATGTAATAATCGGATAATTATTATACTTTGTTAAATAGTCTTAAGTAGGTTATATCTGTCACGAGTTATGGCACGCAGCAATGGGCATATGAAGTGGGTTAAAGTGGCTTGAAGTAACCCATCTAGAATGAGCACATGAGAGCAGTCTATATACTAAGAGAGTGTGATATCCACGTGAGAAAGCACGTGGCAAGATGCTTGACAAGTGCTGATACCATTCCTGTTTCGTGACACACCCCCCAATTGGCCTGTATACAGGACAATTGCCCATACGGGATGGGATCTCTGAATAGCTTCGAGAAGGCCCGATTTGGCCGCAGTGTAAACAAAGCAAATCGCGTAAGGGGTGATGGACGTGGTGACACGCGTTTGTTGTGCCGACCTATTCATCTGAAGTGAAGGGATTCCCGCATTCGGAATAGCTCGTAGGTCGTTGCCTGTGAAGGGCGGTTGCCATCGACCGCCCTTGTGTATGATTTATCTCGACGTCCATAGCCTCCCGTACCAGCTTTCTGAGGTCTGGCGGAAGGTGTTGGATGTCGCTGAACTTGTTTGGAGGGTTGACGAGGTCGTCCTTGTGTAGCCGTAGGTTTTGTCCAAGGCTGGGGCGCTTGAGATGTAGTCTCTCAATTGCTCCCCGGAACACCATGTGAAGGGTTCTGTGTGCGGTACTGTTTTCCTCTATGGCCTTCCGCTGATCAGGCATGAAGGTTGAGAAGAAGCAGTCCCAGAGACGCTTGTGGTAGTCTCTATCTCTCGTGCTTGAGGATGACAGAGTTGCGAAGATACTTCCTTCGTACCGCTGTGTAGGCGTACGAATTCGGTTTCCACGTCGAAGCGTGATTGAGCTTGGAAGTGGCTCTTCAGATACCAGTTCTTGTGTGTGCGTCTGATTGTTGGTCGAGGTTTGTCGCGAGACTTCCGTATTGCTGACGATTTCTGCATGCGGAATTGTTTCTTCGCTATCGGCACCTCGTTCGCCGAGTGCTCCTTGATTTTGTGAGCCAGTTGTTGTAGGTTCTATTACCTCCGCGGTTAATTGAAGCGCTCGTAAAGCACTTCGTCTTCCGTCTTGGTGAGGAGTGGAAATCCTCGTATCTGACCGGTGTACTCATCTGACGTTATGAGGACATATTTCCTCCCTGTTAGAGAAGCTGGGAATTCGAAGAGGTCCCAGTGCACTCGGTACCATGGTCGTGAGGCGCGTTTTGACGAGCGTCCTCTTGAGACAACGAGTTTTGCTCCAGCTGTTGCACAGGCTTCGCACTCGACTTGTGTAGGCGGTCTAATGCGCACACCACGCGTCTTATATATGAGCTGACGAAGTGCATTCGGTCCAAGATGTCCGGTCCTGAGATGCCAAAGAAGAGCATCATCAGTCCTTTCTCGTGTTCGCTGGTACGAATGTCGGTATTTGCCCCGGTTAACTGGTATCATCATGCCAGCTGGGCTTCTGAGAACACGGGTAAGGTATGCGGAAGATAGGTAAAGGGAAGAGTTCTTGTATTCGAGGAAGACTAGGTTGTCCTTTCTGACCAGCTGTTTGATAATGCTATTGCTCTCTAGGGTTCCTTTTCTCATGGTGCAGTCCAGGCCGCAGTACCAGAGTGCGCTTCTTCGAAGTAGAGTCTCAGAGACTATGTTGACGTGGAAACCTTCGACGTAAGCGACGTTGGTGAGCGTCAGGTCAGCAGTGCCTTTCCCATTTGGCCCATCTAGAACCCCTCTCATGATGCGGGTTCCTCGACCAGTAACAGGAAGTGTGGTGGTGCCTGATTCGACGTAGTCATCATCACCAGATAGCGTATAGCTTCCTGCTTCAAGAAGGCGTTTGTCGTTGACTAGGTGCATGGCGCCACAGCTGTCCATCACTGTACTCATAGACAGTGGATGAGCACTACCCATGGGCGCGCTGAAGATTGCGTTGGACTCTTGGTCGTGACCCTTCATGAGTACTGCGACTATGTGTCCATTATCCTTGTCAGACGATGTAGCAGAATTGGCATTGCTGAAGGCTTTCGGGGTGTGTGGTTTCTTTGGTGTACCATCTCCCTTAAGCCATCCAAGCTTCTTGAAGTCAGACTGTAGGGATTTCCATTTGTTGGACTTGACTGCGTCGAGTATAATCGTGGTCTGTGCTTCGTCCAACCGCAAAGGTGAGCCTTGTTTCGTTGTGCTAGTCAGAGCTGTTTCAACCCATCGGCATTCGACGGGCTTCCATCGATGACTTCGATCACAGGGGCAGTTAGAAACCCGCTTGTTGGATGCGTTTTGATCAGAGTCGGACCGTCCTGCGAAGGTTGAGTAGGCACCCCCTGGTTCTGTGGTGTTCTTCGTTGTCATGTCGTCGAAAGTCAAGGCGAACCTGTAACCGATTTGGTCGAGGGTTGGAACGTTACGGCCTTCAGCCATTGACTCGCGAATGGTTTCATACGTGCGTTGGCCCCAGCTTGGATTGAGCCTGACTCGAACCGCATGTAAGAAGTCAAGTATGGCGGTCTCTTCCTCGATTTCGGGAATTTTGTACAACTTCCCGCGCAGGTAAGCAGCCTGCCAGTCGTCGTACCACTGTTTGGCATTGACTCCTGTCTTGGCTTTGGCAAGGACCCGACGGTATTCGCGTCTAACAGAGTCCTTGACCATTGCTTTCCATGGCGCAAGCTCCTGTTTCATACATTTGATGAGCTTTTGGATGTTCTCGACACCCGGGGCGTTCGCCTTGGTGATTGCTGTTTTGAGAATGGGCGACGTGACTGTACGTCTAATCCATTTGTCGATGATACCGAGCTTAGTGAGCTTGTTCTGGCGTGCGGGAGTGAGAGAGTGTTCGTATTTCTGCTCAAATTCCCACTCTCACTGAATGCTCTCGATCGTGTGAACCCGGAGCACAGGAGCCAAAACTGGGAATTGCTCTCCGACCATAGTGGCAGCAGCTGGAACTGTTGGCCAGGTGCCTCTTGAAGTCTGATCTGTTTCCGCTATAGCTCGTGGGATGCCGTGTTCATCGTGCGTAGGAAGAGCATCGCGGGCTCGTTCCCAGGCAGCTCTGGCATTGGTGAACTCTTTGAGTCGTATGTCGTATGCTGATTGCTCAGAAGCGTTGCGTTCGATTACAGTTACATCGAAATGCTTTGGATTGATGAGCAGCGTTGGGTGTAAATCGCTCGTGAGATCCGGTCCGTCAGGGTCGACGTAGTCCCAAACCCCGAGTCCTTGACACTGCAATTGTAGGGCCTCAAACCAAGTGGTCCAGTTGTCTCTACCCGTGAGCTTCACATTCTCGTAGGTGGAAGTGGAAGTAGATTCGCTCATCTTGAGAGATGCTGAGGATCGTGTTGTAACGTGCGTTTTCTCGTACAACGGGGTGTAAGTAATCTTAATAAGAGCTGGGCTCATAACTGTCACGAGTTATGGCACGCAGCAATGGGCATATGAAGTGGGTTAAAGTGGCTTGAAGTAACCCATCTAGAATGAGCACATGAGAGCAGTCTATATACTAAGAGAGTGTGATATCCACGTGAGAAAGCACGTGGCAAGATGCTTGACAAGTGCTGATACCATTCCTGTTTCGTGACAATATCTGTACGTCGTAAGGTAGGTAGTGATCAATGGTAGTCTTGTCAAAAAGGTTCTCAGGATATATATATCTAGATATATTCAGGGAATTGTTGTTGTTGTATTTTAACGCCGTAGCGGCAAGGGCGCAGCCGCCCTTGCGGCAGACCTCCCGAAGGGTATATGGCGTGGAGGGCCGTAGGCCTATAGCTATCACTAGATACAGTCCAGCTCGTCCTCCAAATCGTGCCCAAAGGCAACTATGTGTTTAACCTGTCTCTGGGTGCCGCTGGCTTGCCCGAGACAGTGCTATGGTCGTCCCTAGAACGCAATTCCGCCAGTATCTCCTATCCTTCGACCCAGAGCCCGCAGGCTTCTGGTTTACACAACGTTCCAGTAACCGTCCGGAGTATATCGTAATAGGTAATACCGCCACAAGGGAAACCACAAGGGGCAAAACCTCGTAAGACTAGGTTGTAGGGCTTGCTGTTAGGTTCTGTAACGAGCATAGCTGTATATAGCCGTGGCTATACATCGCTACCCAATGGTCGTTTCGTCTCTTCGAGGGAGTCTTCGATCGTTTAAGGGGCAAAGGTGCTGAGAGAGCGAAGTCGAAAAGTCGGTCGGTGATGTTCAGGGAAGATAACTAGCTAAAAGCGATTATAAGATCTGATACGAAGTTAATTACTGAAGAAGCTATAGGAAGTCTGTCCTAGAGCCCGGCTCGAGTCTATCCTATATATAAGTCCTAATTCTGAACATATCCTTTGCGCTGGACAGTGCCTTTGTTTGGATATTTTGGATTGCTTATATCCTGGTTATCCAAGGATCACTTAGATAACTTATATCTAGTATATCCTTATCCTTATCTCTTATCATCACGTGACTTGTACCATAGTTCTTCCGTTCCTGGGGTTTCTCCAATGTTCTGTCCCGTCCTGCATATATGGCGCGCCGTAGCCGCCGTGGTCCTGCGGGGCAGGCCCTGGACTTGGTCATACATGTTGGGTCGTAACAAGGATAATAATGAGGAGGCTGGGAGGCATTTTTGGGGTGGGCGAAAAGGGGGGGATGGCGAAAAGTGGGTAGGTTGACTTATGTGTTTGTCTTTTTAACTGTCTACGTGTTCAAAGTTTCATTCGTTGGTTACATGTAGTTAGCTTGCTTTCTGATTTTGATTTCGGAAACCCGGTAAGGAATGAAAACACACATCGAACACATGAAGTTGCTCAACGGCACCAACGACCAACACCCATGTCTTCAAATGTTCTTGGCAAACGTGCTCTCATTTAAAGCATTTCTCGTTGAATGGTGGTTGACGACGTGGATCGACGGCGCAGCACGTGTTCTAGATCCACGTAATCAACTATTGCCCACGTTGTGCACTTATTTGCGCCGGATGAGACCTATCCGAGATGAATGCTCTAGAGCTTTAGCAGCCACTAATGGTACGATTCTTCATGTTTGCTCCTTGCCAAACGCTGGGAACCGACCATCGACCCCGGCAGAGGCGCATGCCGGAGCTACTCCAACCCGCGCCACGCGAATGTGATCCCGACCGGAACCATCAGCACCAGCCTGAAGCCGTTAGTCTCATTGACCGCTACGTTGGTCGCGGGTGAGCTGTGTTAAGCTTCAATACCCACACCAATCACCGCTGAATATGCGGAGCCGTTGACGTCCTTTCTTCGCTGGCGTGCTTGGCGGAGGGCTTTGGAATGATTGTCGACCACAAGCTCGTTTGCTCATGTAACCTTGAACACAACGACTTTCCTTTTCAATGAAACATAAAGATGAAGTGCTGCCCCATGAGAGTGAGAAAGTCTCGAGTCTCATTGCGCAGGGATGATATACCGTTCTTGAAAGTCTGCGCCTATCCGTACACCCATCCCTCTCAAGGGCTGTATCTAGGTATTAGCCAAGATGAGAACCTCATTCGTCAGACTGGCGTCCGTGGCTGCACTGCAGAAAAGCGTAACGGCAGAATTACTTACTCTGAGATCTGACGACGCAGTATGCCTCGGTTCCAAATAACCCTGAGTGTCGGATCAACAAGCTGATGTAACTTCAGTGCAGCGTTCTCGCCAATAATTGGTCAGGCAAAGTGTCATATCCCAACTCGACGCAGTATGCCATTTCGAATAACTACTGGTCGGCACCACAATCCGAGATTCATCCAGCCTGCTTCATAACGCCCGAAAGCGCAGAAGAGGTCTCCGACATTATAAAAATCCTCACTTCCCTCGGGGCACAGTTCACAGTCAAGAGCGGTGGCCACACGGCATTCGCAGGCGGTTCAAATATTGAAGATGGTGTCACCATCGACCTCGCACGGCTCAACCAGGTAACTGTATCAGATGACCGTCAAACAGTGTCCATCGGTCCTGGAAACCGCTGGTACAACGTGTCGCAAGTCCTTGACCCACAGGGTCTTGCCGTCGTCGGGGGCAGGGTGAATGAAGTCGGCGTAAGCGGGCTCATCCTAGGAGGCGGGATCTCTTTCTTCTCGGGCGAGTATGGATGGGCTTGCGACAACGTACGCAACTTCGAGGTCGTTCTGGCATCTGGCAAGATTGTCAATGCCTCGACGTCTGAGAATCCGGACCTATATTGGGCGCTTCGCGGAGGTGGAGGTTCCAACTTTGGCGTCGTGACCCAATTCGACCTCGTCGCCTTTGAGCAGGGAGATGTATGGCTTTACAATCCCATCTATACTCTTTCTTCAAGTGCGGATCTCGTACCGGCCTTTGTGGACTTGGTCGTCGACGGCCTACCATCAGATCACGACGCGCACACATTCTTCGTCATTGCGAACTTTCCAGGATATGGCGAGATCATTGCGAACTACATGTATCATGCCACACCTCCAGTGACGGCAGAAGACGTGCCGCCCGTCTTTGCTAACGCGATCGCCGTTCCCGGGGCTGTTTCAACAACGACGCTGGTTGCTAATGTTACCACTCATACGATCAATCTCTCAGAACCTTACGGGATGCGCAAGTCATGGTCGGGCACCTCGGTTTACCTCAAAGAGGGCTCGGCCCAATTCCTTGAGGACATCATCCTGCTATGGCAGGAGCATGCCCAAGAGCTGATGGCTGCTGCCGGCAAAACTAACACAACATTGTCACCTCTGTTCGTGTACCAGCCAATATCGACAAACATCATCGAGGCGATGCAGAAGAATGGCGGCAATGCGCTTGGACTAAGACCTGAAGAAGGCCCGCTCGTTCATATCCAGGTCGTTACGCATTGGGAGACTTCCAAACTGGACTGCCTCGTAGAAAGCAGCGTCGCAGAGCTGATTGAGAAAATTGATGCTCTTGCAGAGGAGAGAGGTCTTGCGGCAAAGTACATCTACATGAACTACGCGGGTCGGCATCAAGACGTATACGGGGGCTATGGATCTGAGAACCATGAGCGGTTGAGAATGGTTTCTGAGAAATACGATCCGGCCAGGATATTTGAAACCCTTTGGAGGGGTTATTTCAAGGCGTAAATATTCGCTGGTTGTTGAAGTCACGGGGCACTGCGCCTCGGTACTCGGTGTTGCGATTCTCTCATACCAAAGATCTAGGCGTAAAGTAGCGTTAATCCTGTGAATCTTGGCGTTCATCAACACTGTCGACTGCAGCTGGAAACTCCACTAAAGTACTCGGAAGACCGCGCCGTTGGAACCTTACAATTGTTGTGTTGATTGATCCCAGTCCTGAACCCACGTTCAGCTGAAAGCTCAATTGGCTCGGAGACTAACCTGAGTTAGCCACCCTGCAAAGGAGCTGGTCCCTGTTCACAAGTCATCGAACCCGATGGCGTCCTACTTTCCTAAGGTATGAAATGAGAAGCGATCTCCCATATACAAGGAAGTCGTCACGGATGTCTTTATTGCAATTGCATCCGAACTTGAACACCAGATCTGATTCCCTCCCTAATGTTCAGCGTGATATCTTCACGCCGCATCAGCCCCCCTCCTCTAGTTGCCTTCCAGATCTCCACTCTGCGGACCATCTACTACCATTGTATCCCGTGTCGTTTCTCGAGCTTCGAACCACATACACTCAGGCGGAATCCATTTGACAATGTCTCCTTCGGTGGAATGCCCAAGTAGAGCAGGGTGAAGACAATGAGTGATACCTGCGAGATCAGGCGAACAGCACAGGTCCTTTGCATTCTGTCGATTTGCCGGACGATAGGAAAAACTGATACACCTAGGTAGGATCTCTTCACGACTTCACTGCACTCACACATCTGAGCATCAGCATCCGGGCATTGATGTGGCTGATCGTAAACCCTATAAGTCAACCTACCCACTTTTGGCCACCCCCCTTTTGGCCACCACATCAAAGTTGGTCTCAAAACATCACCACCAACTATACTCAATTAATTAACTACCTTCCACTACCACTATAATACAGTCACTACCCTTACTAAGTAATTCGACCCTTGCGAGTTAACTAGTACTAACAAAACGGTCGCTAGAGTCCTCCTGAGCCCTCTTTATATGTTACGACCCAACATGCACGACCAAGTCCAGGGCCTGCCCCGCAGGACCACGGCGACTACGGCACACCATAAGTGCACGAACTATGGTGATGATGATGATGATGTATTTAACGTCTGGTAACAAAAGGACGTGCCGGGCGCTATGCCGACATGGTCTATGCTAATCTAAACTATGTTATAGGCTACCGTCTTCACCTAACGTTCCTGTTTAATGACTCGTGCAAATTTCGTAAAAGAAATTGGTCTCCTTTATCCATTCGCATAGAAGAGAGGCTCCCTTAGCAGAACCTAATAAGAAATCAATGCTTGCTTTGGCCATACGTTGGCGGAGGTAGCGCGGTATAGCCTTGCGTCCACGCTTGCAGAAGTAGAAATGGACTGGTGTCTTGGGTTTCCCATAGCTGCAGTTGAGCAACGCATCTTGATGAGCGAATCTCTCGTGGTATGCTGCAAAGTCTCCATGATGGGATCTTGCTGCGTATAGCCTTCCTAGTAAGTGCCGAGGGAGGCGGAGTTCGGGCGGCTTGGGGTGAAGAATTATCTCGAGGTCGGCATATTGCCGAGGGCATTGCGACATCCATTTTCTGGCAAAGGCTTGGAAGGCAGCTGCTTTAGCTTGCCTTTCTAGGTGCGCTAATGAGGGCTGTGGTTGTGATTTTGGGATTAGTTTGCAGGCTTCCTTGGCTAGAGCATCCGCTTCTTCATTTCCTGGTACTCCCGTGTGCCCAGGGCACCACCAAACATAAACCCTGCCGGGGGTTGTCCAGCTCTCTCTTTGTCTCCGAGTCCAGGAGGAAGAGAGCCTATTGAAGGCCCTAAATCTAGCCTGGCTGCTTCCTGTGCTCTGGGAGTATAGTCTAGCCGCGACTGCGAGGTTGTCGAGGCAGATGTGGACGTTATCTGCCATACGAGCCGTAGGAGCCCGGGTGGCTTCCACCAGGCCGTGATACGCAGCATGTGCCTCCGCGTCATACACCTCAGTTTGGGAGCCGAGTGGTTCGGATCCGCGGAAGATCTGCCGTGTAGCTTGGTACCCTACCCAGCCTGCTCCGGCGGAGGTGCTGCTGCCGTCCGACATCTGGGACCCGTCAGTGTAGACAACAATGTCCCGCTTGGAGAAAGTTGCCATCCTGCCTGCAAAGGAGAGGGCCTGTTCTTCTTTGGTCTTATTAGGTTCGTAGCCGACCCTGGCGAGGGCTGTCTGCCAGTCCGCTAGTTTCACTCACTTTGGGTGATCACTGTGATCACCTTATCGTGTGCTCACTTTCCTTATCGTCACGTGACTTGTTCCATAGTTCTTCCGTTCCATGAGGAGTCACCTGAGTTCCCGGATTCTCTGCGTATATCAGGTAGATAGCCGCCGCAGGCCTGTGGGGCGGGCCCCCTGGCCTTGTTATGCATGTTGGGTTGTAACACAACTGTGGCACAAAGCAAAAGCTTCGATAATGATGACTCCGCATCATTTTCCCTTGTTCTGCATTATATAGCTACGCGCCCACAGTGACAAGTTGCGGCGGGCGTAACACAAGGGCCCGCCAGACCCTAACTAAGATATCTAGGAATAGCCTCATACAAAAGAAAAGGACGCGGAAGGGCTACTTGGACTATAATATAGCTTTATATATTAAAGGGGACTACTAGTACCTATAGCATACCTAAGATTTATAGGCAACAGAGGTATTATTACCCTATTGGTTGACTCGACAGATTCCCAAGTCCCTATTGGCTCTACCCCGCCCTTGGCAGAAATGGAGCTATCTGGTACTCGATGGGATAGCCTACTTAATCGAGGCCCTATTAATCGAAATACCGTTTACAATAGCATTAAGAGCCTAATTAACTTTAATTTTAGCGTACAAGACCATTATATACCAGTAAATAAGTATGCCAAAGACGAATATGTTTAGACGAAAATTGCAATTGTTATGGTCATTAGAAAAATAGGGTTAGGATAATATTGAGGTGGCTAGGAGGGATTTTCGGGGTGGCCAAAAGGGGGGGGGGGGGGGTTGGCCAAAATGGGTAAGTTGACTTACAATGACTGTCGGCGGATGGACATATTAGTTGAGCACCCATCGTTCAGGCTTATTGATGCGTTGCCGCCCAATCTGGAGCACCTGTGCCTGTATATTTATCGAAAGGGAGAAAACGTGGACATTGATGGTCACGTGAACGAACTCGTGGAGGAGAGGTCACGGTGTCTTCCAAAGCTCAAATGGCTTCTCGGAGTCGAGAAAAGGATCTTGCGAGACGGTTCCAAACTTTCGCTAGACCCTCCTGACTCTGACGATACTTCACTCGGATGTGTTCTGAAATTTGAAACTGGATGGATGGAACCTCAGCAGTAAAACCCGCCCAGGCCAATTGCTTGTATATTAAGCATGGAAAGAATTCCACTTCTTCAGTGTTGTTACAGGTAGTCTGCATTATCACACCATTGTGGGGAAGGCGTCATTGGCAGGTTACAGCTAGGCAAGTACTTAGTTACTAGTAAGTAAGCTTAAAGTAAGTTGACAACAAAACCATCCAGGTTCACACCGAATCCAGCATCAGAGTCAACTTTTTCTCGAGAAATTTTATACGAGGAATATCGCGAAATCACTCGTGACAAAAACATTAGCATTTCGCAAGGGAAACCTGGTTAAACAATATTGGTCGCGCCTTAGCAAACTTGTGAGGCCATTATTAGTCAGCTTTTATCCTTCGAGTTGAGCGCAAGCGAGCAGTTTGTGGGGCACGGCGAGATAATGAATGCGCCGATCTCGCTATATCTAATCAATCTCCCAAACATAATCATCTACTAAGCACTGGATTTAAATATCAAGAGAAGGCCTAACTTCTTGTAGATCTCTCTGTCTTGTATTCATTTGACTTCCTGAGCTACACGCAGACATACTCATCACCGACCACGGATTGCTTCGAACAACCCCGCCGAACACCACATCCAGTTATCAACTCCCGCGACCAGCCGCGATAAGCCAACAGAATCAGCCCGCCTCAAGATATGGATATCGAAATATCGCCGGCGACGATCGATGAGATCCCAAAAATCTTGGACCTCACTCAGATAGCACGCGCAGACATGTTCCCGCATTTGGATGATCAATGGCGCGCTAAGAAAGCCGAGGAAGATCTCGCAACGTTCCAGGAGACTTTTTTCAACCACCCAGATGGCGCATTCATAGTTGCGCGATCAAACAACCAAATCATTGCGACTGTTGGATACCAACACTTCGACTACCGATTTCCTCAGCTCACTCTACTACCCGACGGCGTCGTTGAAGTTGTGAGACTCTACGTCGTTCCGGCTTGGCGCCGCGGCGGGTTAGCATCCCGATTGGTTTCGGCTTTGAAGAAGGCGGCGAGCGAGGCGGGCCTGAAACAATTGTATCTTCACACTCATCCGTTTTTACCGGGAGCGATCAAATTTTGGGAAAGACAGGGTTTCGTCGTTCTGGATGTTGACCGAGACGATGCTGTGTGGCAAACGACACATATGAGCCAAAATCTCAGCGGATGATCGCAATCCTTAGTAGGCAATGCGAACTGGCCATTGTTGCTAGAGAAGATTCTAGATCATTGATGCGCTTGACCGGAGATTCTGGTGGACACGCACCGCGGTGATCGGATACACTCCGAAAGAGTCAACAATGTTTCGATGGGCCTAGCTGAGCTGTCAATGCTTCTTGGTAGCTCAACATAGAGGACGGTGGGAGCTTATTCCCTCATGGTTTTGTCGTCTATTACATACAACAACCAATAGCTCTGTCTAATATTATCCAGCACATGTTTTGGCCTCCTAGAGTATTTCTACTGTTTCATCGTCCAACCACAAAATGAAATACAATTGTTTCCACCGCTTCCATGATGCTTTAGAAGAACCTGGCGATGGTTCTGGCTTCGGCCGTTCATGGCCGCACGGGTATCGGTAGCGACCGACACCTGCGTCCCATGTATGCTTGAGAGGGCTGTTGCTGTTGACAGGGTCCGTCAACTCGTGTTGGTTGAGACTTCTGCACATTGCCTTCGGGACGCTTGCATGGGAGGTCCGGTGTTGAGGCCATTTTGACTCCACAGAGCAGATGAAATCATAAAAGAGAATGTTCTATCCGATTAATGCCTCTACTTTGGTGCACATCACATTTTCCTCAACTTCCCTCTCGCCTAATTTTTCTTTGCATCTACTGTTAGTGTAATAAGTGGGCTACCACCAAAATCCTTAACAACTGAAAATCCTTCACCTCTCCTCCGGCGCCCTCCCGCGATGGCCTCGTAACCTCCGGCGGGCTCTGGACCGTTGCCGGCCTCCTCGGCCGGCCCTGATCGAGGCTCTAGACCCTCTTCAGAGCCGCCCCCATCCTCAAGGGCTAAACGCCGCCGCGAAACCAAGGCCCAGCCTCGTAGGAAGCCAGCCCGACGCCCCAATAATAACCCCCTTAACGGCCAAGGGGCCCTCGACTATGACTAGGACAGCTACTAGAGCTATCCTTACAGCTCTTAATAAAGAGGCTAAGCACTATAAAGCCCGAAAGGACGTCTTTATAGCTATTGTTTAGTCTGTAGATAACGTGATCTCTTGCTTTAAGGGGCCTAGGAAGCAGATTATAAAAGAAGCTATAACCTATATAATTCAAGCCTTAAAGAGGATTATTGTCGGATTGGAAGTCCAATTCGGCCGCGAGTAGGGGCAGAGCATGGGCCACCTCGAGGGGGTACACTTAGACCTCGACTACCCACCCAACCTCCGGTTGGAATCTCCCTTCTACTCCTCACGCAGAATCAATCAATACAGAGATATTGATACTTCGTCACCCCCAGGACCCTACGGTTCGAACCAAATTCCCTGTGAGAGGAATACCAACAATTATAGGTAACGAGACTACGGCTCCGGCTACTAGGAAGCACGCCCCCTTCGCCCTACGCCGGACAATCTACCAGGCCCTTAGGCTCCAGCTAGCAGATATCCCACACATCTACCATATTACAACTAGCTACTCACTAAGACCCCTGAATAAGCAGGTCTAGCAAGCCCTCCTTACAAACAAACAGAAACTAGCAGAGTATCTTAGAGCCTATAAGGTTAAGACCCCTACTAAGTAGTTTACCTACGTCGTCCCACGTTACCCTACTAAGATATAGACTCTTAATGGCGACGCCCTTGACCTAGCTACTCTAGTAGAAGATAAGGTCCTTACCCAAACAGGACGTAAGCCTACTCGGGCCCAGCAGTCCCGGCTAGGTGTAAACCCTATTATAAACAAAGTCTCCTAGGTCATCTCCTTCTCTATAGAAGTACCACCCTTTAGACTATTTAACTAAAGCAGCAGGTCTTAGCTTATCCAAAAGAAGAAGACCCTAATCAGACATAATCCTAGATACCAGGGATACCATTCGAACCAATACTATCACCGACAGCCACTCTATAGCAACTGTAGCAGGCCCTTGGGATCCCACGAGACTAGGCCCTGCATAGCTAGACCGAAGTGCGCCAACTGCTCCGGCCCCTTCCAAGCTAACCATAAGGGCTGTCCAGTAAGGCCCCTAGTGGTTAATGGCTCCCCTACCCTCCCAGACCGGAAGGAACTCTCCCGGATCCGTAAGGCTGGTCAGAAGGCCTATGAGGCCCTCTATCAGAGCAGCCAGGCTGGCACCCAAGCCAGCAACACCTAGCAACCTAGTAATAGCCTAACGAGCTATCAGCCCGGCTCAAAGCGCCTACGCGCCCCTACCCCTACCCAGGACTTAATTATTGTAGCGGACGTTAGTGATACGGCTAGCTGTAGCAGCATGGATGAAGATGAGAAGGGGGCTGAAGCAGAAGGGCTGCAAGCCCCTGACGACCCAGTCCTACCCCCCCTACCCAGCTAACCTACCCTAGCTACCTCAAGCAGCAGGGCTCAGCGGGTGGCGCAGAAGCCTGATTATAACGTTATTAATGCCTACACCCACCTCGACCTCGACTCAGAGCAGTAGGCTCAGGCCAGCCTCCCCACGGGTACTACGAGTCGCCCAGTGTAACGTGGGGAAGAGAAGCCCAGCTCATACAGCTCTCCTAGAGCTCTGCTGGGCGGATCAGATCGATATAGTACTGATCTAGGAGCCCTGGATAGGCTATAGAGATAAGATGCAAATCAATACACACCTAGGTTATAACTCTTATATACTAGTTGATTTCTAGAACAATAGAGACACAAGGCCTAGGGTTATAACCTATATACATAAGGGTCTAAGGCTGCAAATATAGCAACAAAGACCTACCTAATCAAGAGATATCGTATGGGTAAAGGTTAATAACTTTACTATTATAAATATCTATAGGCCGCCGGGCGAGCCTAAAAACAATACAACAAGTGCCCTCTTCAGCGGCCCCGCAAGTGCAATCAAGTCAATTTTGACCCCCATACTTGCTGTTGATGAGATTTTTCTTGGTGTTTTTGATTAGTTGGCTAACTTGCAAGTTATTCAATCAATCGCCATATAAAAACACGTGGTCTACAATTACCTAAGCGGGAGATATATGAAGCTATTCACGATAGGCCCAGTAGTCCAAAGCCGTTGTTCTGCAGCATAACCCCCCTCTTGAGCCAGTTTTTCGACAGCTGGAGAATCTCTATAGTCTCTGGCTTCATACTCATCCGTTGCGACGTGAGGGTTAACTTAGCAGTACTGAAAGTCCTCTCGCAGTCGGCCGCCATCGCTGGGACGGCGAGGATGTCGATCGCGAGCCGAGAGAGGGTCGGGAAGGTATCCGAATGGTCCAGCCACCACCGTAAGGGCTCGGAGGTCTCCTCCGGAGGTTGACGGAGGTAGAGATCGAGCTCATCCATCCGGGGTGGGGTCTGCCGGCGCCGGCTATTAACTCACTGCCGGAAGTGACTGTCGTCATCATCTCGAGCCCCGGGGTCAACGGCAAGGCCTCCGCGCTGCCCTCTGTGGCCGGAGATACTCTCTTCCGGGCCGTTCTGCCGATACCACTTATCATAGTACTCTGTGAGGGATTTCTGAGCCTTGTCGACCCATCCCTCTTGGTGGTCGTCACTCCATACATCTCGTAAGTATGAGATCCCATATGACGGATGGAGAATGATTGCACCAGAGAACAGTGGTGACTCCCCTAACTTGTCATAGTAGTAAAAGAGCTTTTGCCACGACTGCTCAATACTACTACGGAGGAAGGATTGCCACTTCTCGTCGAGAGAGTCGAATCGTGAGGCGGCTCGTGAGGCTGGAGATGCCCAGTCTTCACGCACGTGATCTGGGAGGGCCTATTGGTTATACCGACGACGACGGGGCCTTCCGGATCGGGTTTGAGATGGCTGCGAGTCCTCAAAAGGATCGTCAACTAGAGGAGAAATCGTGGAGTTGTAGTAGGTCTTCCAGTCGACGAGATGCGAAAGGAGGTACTCTAAACCCATAGTGACCTCCCACAGTCGACCATGCCCATCCTTAACCCCCCAGCCCTCACACCTCTTCGTCTGGCGATAAAAAGGCTCCAGGATCATTTCCATCTCGGCAAGAACCTTCCAGTCGTCGGAAGACAGTAGATCCGCTTCCGGTATATGCTGTTTGACGTCGTCGTCGTCGTTATTCGATAGTATAAAAGCCTGGATCTCATTCTTCTTCTTGATGGCTCTCTCGATCATGAGATACGTACTGTTCCAGCGAGGGTTGTTATTCAGGATAAGCTGGACCTCACGGGACGACTCGGAGAAGATCCGGAAATCGGAGTCTCCGTCAATCTCGGCCGCGGCCTTCCGGTACCGTTCGGTCCGTTGCGGAGAGGCCCGGACGTACTTGACGATGTTCCGAAGCCGGCCGACGGGCCCGAGTCTCCGCCAGAGATCGAGATCATCGTCATGACGTTGAACAAGCCGGTAATACTCCGATTCAGCCTCGAGGGTCTCCTTATCGGCGCCGAATAAAAAGGCCCTGGCCGCGAGGTTAAGTATATGGCCGTAGCACCTCATACGCCGGGCCTGGACATCCGTCTCCGTCATCTCGGGATATATATCCCGATAGAAGGCACGGAGGCAGGTGTCGTTATTAGTCGCGTTGTCGGAAACAGTTACTCCGATCCGGTTCCGGATCTTATATCGACTGACGACGTTAAGGAGGGTCTCCGAGAGGGTAATACCGCTATGATCTCCATGGTGTTGAGAGAAGCCTAGGAGGCGTGACCGTAACGTGCCGTTGGCATCGATGAAGTGACACGTGACGCCCATAAAGGCGTAAATATTGGGCGACGACCATAGATCGAATGACAGGTGTATTTTCGATACCGCTAGGTGGAGCTCCGTCGTCACGAGACCCTCTCCGCGCCGGCAGAAGTCTTGGAGACGGTCCCGAATAGACGTATAACCCCATGGGACCTCGTTGGCGACCTCGTTACTATAGTACCGTAAGATCTGTTGGAGGAAGTTGTTCTCAAAGTGGGTAAAAGGGATGTCGGGGGAGACAATGGAGGCAACGCAGAGATCCCTTAGAGTCGTGATCTTAGCCTTGGGAATATTACTGTTGTTGAGGCGCACCCTCTTATATGGAGGAGGGGTCGATGGGTCTGATGAGGAGGGTTGGGTGTCAGCGTCAGAATCCTCATCTGAGAGGGTTGAGATCTTGCAGATGCGATGGGCACTTCAGCCTCGTTAGAGTAGACTTTATATGAGCAGGAAGCTTAGGATAACATACCGAACTAAGTGCTCTTGCGCAGCAGTAGTGGCAGCAGCGCCAAATACCCTAGGGGACCCCTTTAAGTCGCATCGTCGGCAACTCCAAAAGGAGGGCCCAGCCTGGCCCTGAATAACCTCAACAAGGAAGTCGCCATGATCTCG